CCCCGAATAAAAATTAGTATATTAAAAAAAATTGCTCAGAAAGTATCAGGAGCAACTATTTTCAGTATAAAACTGCTGAAAATCAAACTAGTTTCATTATAATTATTATTTTTAATAATAGAATAGCTATTTGTTTTAAAATATAATCTTTTTAAGAATTAAAAACTGCATTTTGGTCCTACTTTACTTTTTTTCCTTAAGATTCTGAATCTTAGAAGTATACATCAAAGAAAAAAGAAAATGCCTGAGCTGCATATTTGACCTGGGTAGATGATTATAAACTCAAGGAACATGGATAAGCTGGAGTTGGCTTACTGAATTGTGTAGTTTTCCAATGTTTCCTTTTATCTATTATTCATCCTTTACCTGGCATGATGGCAGCATGTGAGCAAGCACAATTCCAACATGGCCCTGAAAAAGTCAGAAAAAGGAACAAGTTAACTTTACTCCCTATAGGTTTTGCTCATTCAGAGACAACAATCTTGCCAGATAAAAAACACGACCTTGAATATAATATAGTAAAGTACATAGTCTTGGAAAGGCTAAAGAGAATAAAAGCAGAGATACAATACCCCGCCGCTGCAGAAATCCACAATTCTGTCACCAGGTCTGGCTTGATTTGTCACCACATAAACAAGGTTGTTTAACTGCTGCTGCTTCCTCAGCGCTCGATCACTGGACATTTTACCTGGAGTGACAAGAGATGAAGAAAATGAAGAATTATGCCTTGTGAGGAATCAAGAAGACACATTTAGAATTAACTACCAGAATATAGGGGGAGGGGTGAATAAATATGTATGTGAAAGAATGAATCACAAAGCCCATATAATCGAATGTGAGAGGACTGGAACCTTGAGATGAACTCTATTTCTATATAGTTTATGTACTTCTATTCCTATTCAACGTTCCTTTCAATGGCCACTTCTTTCAATTTTCAATGGCCACAAAAAGAAGATCTATGAAAAATGTCTTCTAAAGTGTTGAAACAATATGTAAAACATTAAGTTCAGAGTCATAACAAAGTAAGTGTTCAATAAATACTTGCTGGATGAATAATAATAATAATAAAATACAGTTATAGTTCCCTGTAGCCCACTCAGAGATATATTGTAGAGATTAACTGATTTTAGCACATTGCTTAAATCTCCTTGCACAAAAGAGATCTGTAATAAATAAAAACACTTTTATTATTTAACTGGCCCATCCTTTAACTCTTAATTCTTGCAATTAGGACACACAGAAGCCTTGGAATATAGTGTCACGGTGTCTGAAATATATCAATGGTTATTGTCTTTAGGGAAAAATTGGCTTTTCCCTTTTCTGCTTTGAAGCCTCCTTTCCTCATGAGTCAGACATAGAAATTTAATGTAATTAGAGATTAAAGATAGGGCACTTCCAAGTACGAAATGCCTTGGGCCCAGCAGCATGAAAACATCTTAATTTCCCTTTCAATAGCCACTAGTCAAATCCACAAAAATACTCTCAGAAGAAGGAAATTGCTTGTTTTACATATTTCAAATATGCTTTTAACAGTCAGATGAAGAAATTTTAAGAGAGACAATTTCAGTGATACGGATACAAGGGAAAACAATAGACAATCTTTCTGGTTTGATCAAAAACTATTTAAAGACATCAAGGTTTCTCTACTCCATTTCCAAAGAAAAATAATGTGAATTTTTTTTCCTTCCCCTTTCTATTTTTGTTTTTTGTATCTTCTTTATGTTATTAAATTGAAAATAAAACAAATTTGGAAAAATTTACATTGTAGGAAAAATGTGGATGAATAAGGTCTGTATTAGAAAAAAAGTCCATAATCTCTTAATTCAGAGGTATTATTTTTGTGTATTTGTACTTCCAGGCAACAGCCATATCCATGAATTGGTAATTTTCTGTCCAGCATGTAAAACATATACTGTAAATATATTTCCACGTCAATGTTTTTATTTCTATACTTTAAGTTATAATGGCTACATTGTACTCTACTTACTATATATAACATACTTATTTAACTAACTCTCAACTGTGGACTTTAAGTTTTTTCCCCCCTCTTTTTTCTGTTATTAATAATGATGTGCTCATAAGTGTACAGCTGAGTTTTCATGTACATTGTTAATTATGTAGGACAGTCTGAAATGAATTTTAATCTTCACTGAAAAACATTTAAGTCCACAGTCTGGTGACTTTATTTGTGAGAACATTTTCATTCAGTTTTTAAAAGAATTATGGCCATTGTTTTCTAATAATATAATTATAACAATTTTAAATTTAGAGACAGAAAGTGATAGACATTGTAATTCCACCATTAATGGACAAATCACTCCTAAGAGATTAGAAACTTTTAAATAGATTTTTAAATAAATATAAACTTCCATTCATATAACTTCTTATAAATGCATTCATGTCATATGCATACATATATATGTATATATACATATATATGTGTGTACATATATATGTTGTTGTTATGGGCCATCAAGTTGACCTGACTCATAGCGACCCCTCCTTGGGTTTCCGAGGCCATATCACCATGGAAGTAGATTGCCCAACCTTCCTTTCGAGGAGTGGCTGGTAGGTTTGAACTGCCAGCCTAGTCAGTAGTCAAGTGCCTTAGGTACTACGCTACCAGAGCTCACTGTACATATATATGTTGTTGTTGTTGTTGTTATGTGCCGTCAAGTCAGACCGACTCATAGCGACCCCTCCTTGGGTTTCCGAGGCAGTATCACTACGGAAGTAGATTGCCCCATCTTCCTTCCGAGGAGTGGCTGGTGGGTTTGAACTGCCAGCCTTCTGGTTAGCAGTCAAGTGCCTTAGCCACTATGCTACCAGAGCTCCTGTACATATATATATACACACACATATATTTTATATATATATATATATATATATTCATATATTTATATGTGAATCTAGGAAAATAAAAAGTTATGAAAATGAAATATAATGCATAAAGATATCCAAGGCATTAGTGAGCTGAAATGGGCTGGTATTGACCACTTTTACTTGGACAAATATATGGTCTACTACTCTTTTCAACAACATAAATGACAACTATATCTGTGGACCTTGCCAGATGGAATACACAGGAATCAAACTGACTATATCTGTAGAAAAAGATTATAAAGAAATTCAGTATCTTCAGTCAAAACAAGGATAGGAGCTGACTGTGGAATAGATCATCAATTGCTCATATGCAAGTTGAAACTGAAGAAAATTAAAATAAGTCCACGGGAGCCAAATTATGACCTTGCATATATCCCACCTGAATTTAGAGACTATCTGAAGAATAGATTTAATGCACTGAACACCAATGACTGAAGATCAGACAAGTTGTGGGATGACATCAAGAACATCATATATGGAAAAAGCAAAAGGTCATTAAGAAGACAGGAAAGAAAGAAAAGACCAAAATATTTATCAGAAGAGACTCTGAAACTTGCTCTTGAATGGAAAGTAGCTAAAGGGAAAGGAAGAAATGTTGAAATTAAAGAGCTGAACAGAAGATTTAAAAGGGTGGCTTGAGAAGACATAGTAAAAGATTACAACAAAAAGTGCAAAAAGTTGGAGTTAGAAAACCAAAAGGGAAGAACACGGAGAACACATCTTAAGCTGAAAGAACTGAAGGAAAAATTCAAGCCTCAAATTGCAATACTGAAGGATTCTATGGGCAAAATACTGAATGATACAGGAAGCAACAAAAGAAGATAGAAGGAACACCCAGAGTCATTGTACCAAAAAGAACTGGTCAACAGTTGGCTATTTCAGGAGGTAGCATATTATCAAGAAGCAATGTTACTGAAGGAAGAAGTTCAAGATGGTCTGAAGGAATTGGCAAAAAACAAGGCTTCAGGAATTGACAGAATACCTATTGAAATGTTTCCACAAACAGATGCAGTGCAGGAGGTGCCTATTTATTTATGCCACAAAATCTGGAAAGCCGCTACCAGTCCAAATGACTAGAAGAGATATTTTTTATTGAACAATTTCATTAATAACACACACAGTAAAATTTTTCTGAAGATAAAACAAAAATGGTTGTAGCAGTATATTGACAGGGAACGGCCAGAAATGCAAGCTGGATTCAAAAGAGGATGTAGAATGAGGGATATCATTGCTAATGTTAAATGGATCAAAAAGATGTTTACCTGTGTTTTATTGAGTATGCAAAGGCATTCAATTGTGTGGACCATAACAAATTAAAGATAACATTGCAAAGAATGGGAATTCCAGAACACTTAAATATGTTCATGAATACAGACCAAGAGGCTGTTGTTCAAACAGAACAATAGGATACCATATAGTTTTAAATCAGGAAGGCTGTGCATCAATGTTGTATCTTTTCACAATTTGTATGCTGAGCAAATAATGCGAGAAGCTGGATTATATGAAGAAGAGTGCAGTATCAAGATTGGAGGAAGACTCATTAACAACATGCAATATGCAGATGACACAACTTTGCTTAATGAAAGTGAAGATGACCTGAAGCACTTACTGATGAAGATCAAAGACTACAGTCTTCAGTATGGAGTACACTTCAAAGGAAAGAAAACAAAAATCCTCACAACTGGATCAATAAGGAACATCACGATAAATCGAGAAAAGACTGAATTTGTCAAAGGTTTCATTTTACTTAGATCCACAATCAGCACCCATTGAAGCAGCAGTCAAGAAATGTGATGTTATATTGTATTGGGTAAATCTACTGCAAAAGACCTCTTTTAGGTGTTAAAGAGCAAAGACGTCACTTTGAAGACTGTTGTTGTTGTTGTTGTTAAGTGCCGTCGAGTCATTTCCAACTCACAGCGACCCCATGCACAGCAGAACGAAACACTGCCCGATCCCGCGCCAGCCCCACAATCCCTGCTATATTTGAGCCCATCATCGCAGCCA